GATTATTTAATGTGGTGTAACATACAGTACCTTACTTAAACAGGACACAATTGAGATTAACTTAGCAACTTAATGTCATCCATAAAGAGGACTGACCTCTTCCTTCGATTGATTTCACATTTTTATGTGTCTGCTCTTTGTTTATACTGGAAGCTGTCTGTTACTGTATAGTGAGAATTATTCAATCTGATAGTCAGTAAATGTACAGGTAACTCAGTTCAGAAATAAACTGAGAAAGAGATATCATTAAACCTTACTGCTTGCCTAATGGAGGGATCTCACCTATAAACATTTTCACATGATTTTCCTCTGTCAGGCTGGAACCTGGTTCCTTTCTCCTTTCCCTGTACCTCACTGCTGGGCCTGGATGACTGAACCCCTGAGGAATGTGCTCTCCTGAAGCCAGAGCACCTCAGTGCTTCACTATAGTCACTCTCACTGCAGTCTGGCTGCTCTGAGTGAACAGCATCTGATGAAGAAGCACACACACCTTTCTGCTCAAATCAGATGACATTCTGTAATTTACATTGCCTGAAAAGAGATAATACTATATTTTAAAATGTACTGGTAAAAATGATAAATCATCTTAAAATATGTTATTAAAATAACATTAAAATATGTTACTTTAATTACATCTCTCCGATGTGGGCACTAAGCATGCTGTTTCACAATAAAACTGTTCTAATATTATTCTGAAACTGTCTTCATCATAGCACACATCATTTAGAACAAGCTAAAAATACTGTACATATTAATTAACAAGAAAGGCTTACAGTATATTGAAGAATAAACAAATATTTTAACATACTATAAATACATTACAAATGTTTAAATATCAAGTTGAAATGGCATAATTTATAGACATACTGTAACTAAGGGAAGCAATAATAGATTTGGTAGATGCATGAAAAATTGTGAGGCACTACAAGCAAACAGTCCACTGTTATTTTTGATTAGTTCTGAAAATACGTTTGAGGCATTATTGAGGCTAAATTGCATTTTTAAAATTGTTTTTAAAAATATATACAACATAGTTCTGTAATTCAGTGCCATCATTTAATTAATATTAACTTGAGGCTATGAAAAACAAAATGATGTAACTGACTTTTGAAATTTTTTATGTAATTTGGATCAGTTTTGCCACAATATGTTTGTATCATTCAACGTGATTTAGCTGTGGGATATCACCCAGCATCATATTTTAAAAAAATACATCTCACTCTCTAAGGAGCTGCATATTGTCTATATAGCAAAGGGTTTCTTAACATCACACCAGTTTAAGGTGTGTTTTAGGCAGCCATGAAAATCATTCAGTGTGTTTTTGACTTACTTATATTAGCTCTTCAAGTTCTCAGTTTGAAACAACCTATTTGTAAAATTCAAGGCAAATTTGAATTGAATGGGTTGTATAAAAATGGAGATATAGTGCTGGGGGGAATATTTGAAGCCCATTTTGCAGTAACCTATCCAGAATTGCATTTTGGATCAAAACCAGACCAGCTGAAATGCAAGAGGTGAGTTCATAGAGACATCTGTGAAAAGCATTGTTATACAATGTACAGATTTACTTTATCTTTTGGCAATATTTAAATACCAGAGTTCAGAAAATTAAGACGAAATTACTGTTTTTTTCTTCTCTCAGCTTTTCTGTACTAGCATTTCAGGAGGCACAGACCATGATTTTTGCTATTGAGGAAATAAACAGAAACCCTGCTCTGCTCCCTAACATCACACTGGGATACAGGCTGTATGACAACTGTGAGAATCTGGGAGTAGCTCTTAGGGCAGCAACAGCTCTGATCAGCGGAGAGGATGA